TAGCCATACATTAGGATATCCTACAACATGATATATAGCAATTATCATGAAAACACGTGCATGGACGTGCGCTGCAATCTGATTGGCTTAAACTTTAAATAGCTATAACTCCCTTGATTTTCAACCAAACAGGATGGGATTTGGAACATAGATAGATATAATGGATTTCTACAAGAAGGTATGGTCACCATGCACATGCATACACACGCGTGTACATGTGCTGCAATCTGATTGGCTGAAACTTTAAACAGCTATAACTCCCTTGGTTTACAAACGAACGGGGTGGGATTTAGAATATAGATAGATGTAATGGACTTCTACAAGAAGGTATTGTCACCATGCTCATGTATGCACGTGCGTGCACGTGAAATGAGTAAAATAAAAAATACACTTGAATGAGCGTATTTTTTAATACTTTTGGATTAAATACTTTAATATTTAGTATATTAAAATTTATAGATTCTGTAGACAATATGATATGGTCATTATGCACATGCATTCACACGCGCACGCGTGCAATGCTAAGATTTGAATGAACTTGGTACACTTCTGGGTAAACGTTGTTAAAGTCTCAAATGCATAGAGTTTGTCCTATTTAATGAAGCTTACAGGGGATATGGCACCAAAAGGGAGTTGGGGAGCGTTTGGGGAACATCTGTAACGGTCCCCGTTACAATTAGCACTAGTTTATTTTGCTTTGATGAATAGAAATTAAACTAAGAAAAAAAATATATGTATTTTTGTTTCTAAAATTATATATCAATATTTGAATAAGAATTAAAAAAAATATTCAATTGGTTATTTTTTTGCATTATTGAGAGTCTAACAAGAATCAAAATTAGATACTAGAAATATTAGTTGTTTTTTTTTTTTTTTTTTTTTAATTTATTCGTATTAAATGCGAACTTTAATACTGCTGAACTCAGACAGTCTGAGTTTCGAATCGATAAACGATTTTCATGCAGCATTCATTTGAAAAAAAAATTACAATTAATTTTTGAAAAAATGTACATCCTCATATTGTTTATATTCTATTTCCAAATTTAGAATACTTAATTTAATTAATTTCGCTTTATTGTATAAATGTGCAGGCATTTTTCTTAAAGTGTCAAATACCGGGAAACATTTGATGGCGAGAGTTTGCAGTTACATGTATTAGGCACGTCAACTTAAATTTTCTTTGTGCAAGATATCAAGAAAAAAATCTTTTCTTTTTTTTCTTATTGTTTATGGTTTTTCCCCCAAATTTAGAACACTTTTTAAAAATTTATTTCGCTCTATATACCGGGTAATTGTGCAGGCATTTTTCTCAAAGTGTCAAATTACCGGAAAGCATGAATTTTATTTCGATGAGAGTTCACTTTGCAGTTACATGTGAACTTTATACGATATCAAGAAAAAATATCGCTTCTTCACCTTCATATTTACATGTGTCTTTGTAAACAATATGTCTTTCTTTTAATTTTAATTTTTGTCCATTTTCATGTGCAATAAGCCAATAAGTGCAGGTACGGTGATAAACTTCACATAACAAATTAAATTAAAGAAGGGGGTGTAATACACTTAAGTTTTTAATAATATTAAATGAATAAAATAATCCAATAGTTAATACTTTCGATTTCTTTGACAAATTCTGTTTCTTTGTGTATTAAAGACCCAATTTTTTTACCGTACGGTTACCTGAGGAGGGGGAGTGGTCCAAGTAACAGTGGTGTTATTTACCTGGAGACCCCCAATACCCAAGATGTCAAAAATCCTTGTATACGTAGCAGTACACAGGAAGTCTTGTCTTTGGTAACCAGGGTCAACATTTTGTGTTTTGTGTTTAAATTTGAGTGAAACTACTTGAAATGATTTAAATATTTCTATATAAAATTTATTTATAGATACTTTCAGCGATATCTTATGAGGAAAAAAAATTATTTAAAAAATATCGTTTTTATGTCTAAAAAAAAATTGTAAAATCAAAGAAAAGAACACAGAGCAAAACTACAAAGTAAACATATCTTTTTTAATTAAACTTGTGTAAATATCAAAATTTAAAAAAAAAAAAAATATTCCATTCATAGGCCTATCCGTCACGTGAACCTACTCAATGTACCGCGATAGGAATATTGCTTACATTCTGACCAACAATAGCGTCGAAAATATTCACCATTTCCGGGTGTTCGTGTGTTTAAAAATTTTTACTGTTTGCAAGATTTCTTTTATACTTTTAAGAATTGAACTTTGGCTTATATATATATATAGTATTTTATTTCGAATAGGGTATTGACAGACGTTAGGAAAATCGAACTAAAAGTTACAATCTCGAAACCCATGTTTCTGACATTTCAGAACTTTATACAACGGAATATGGTGTAGATTGTATTCATATATACATAGATAAGACAAGGGATGAAGAAATTTTTTATCCATGCTTGTGCTAAATATATTTCTTATTTATCATATTCGAATTTGTTATAATTTTAATCGGCAAATAGCATTTCTGTGCACGTACCGTCTAAATTCTACAGAAGATATCTTGGGCGACATATCGCCTAGAATACGATACAGTCGTTGAGCATATTGAGATTGAAAGAAAATATTTTTTGAAGTCATTTTTTAGTTATCTACTCTAAATTATTTTTAAAATAAAATTTAACTACGATTCTTTTTTAACCCCCGTGTATACAAGGCGGGTACATGAAAGTGTTTGACGCGTGACCAGGCAATCGTTTTCAAAACACACAAACTCAGACTATCGAGTAGCACGGATAGCTGGCCTGTCAATCAAATCAGAAGCTATTGTTTTTTTAATGATTGACAGGCGGTAAATTATTGATCTTGAGTCAGGTAGATTTTGGGGGCGTTAACATAAAATTGGGTGTTTAAGTATTAGCCGCGATCATTTCCTGTGTATAGGGATTAGCAGTCCCAGCACAGGAAACGGCATGCCCTGGGGCTTTCACACCTCTCCTAGAGTACCTGGAGTAACTCTCTCTGAATGTGCACGTCGTTGTCTAGCATTTCAACACAGCATTTGATTCAATGTTTCATTAATTATTTCATCGATATCATTTTCAAATGAGATAACAGCCTGGAAATTTTAGTCAATATATTGTTGTTTTTTAACTGAGTGTAAAAAAACAAACAACCAAACTGTAAAAGCAAATGAATAATTAAAGTACAGCTGTATTTGAAATTAATTAAATCAAAAAATGATTCATTACCATTTGATTTGTAGCGTGTCTGTTTAAACCTGTACAGTTAGTAGATTGAGAGAGAGAAAACATTACAATATCAACTTGAGGCACATGCACGACCGTTTTTCCTTGTTTTGATCTGTATAAATATTATTGATTTCTCAAGTCTATCGAATGAAACTAAACTAAACATGATATAATTTCAATGGAATTGCTAATGGATCAGATTTTGTAAAATTCCATAATAATCGTTGCCGTGAACAGATACATGTACATGTAGATCTTGCTGTCGCTGATTTATCAGTTTATTGACCATTTATGGATTTTGTCGAATTACATGTAATATGCGAGTTTAAGGAAAACACAGGAACAGTTATAGCTAAACACCCAATATTTAACTAAACTAACAGCTTGATATGATTGTTTCCAAGACATTTATTAATCTTATTCACCATTGTTCGTCAGTGTTTCTTCATGATGTAAGATTATGTAATGTGGAGGTATTACAGGTATCTCATTAAGGGTATAGACCAGTTACACAGAGACCTGAAAACTTGAAGCATGACAACTTGCTGATTAAAATAAGTTTAATAATTTCTGTGCCGTTTGTTCAAATTATTTTAGGGCCCATATTAAACGGCTGATAGAAGTGTCAGCCTTTCCGATACGTGAAATTTGTTCATCATTTTCATAGACATGACTTTCATAATTTCCAAAAAGAGCAGAAAATAGAACTACAGTAAAATATTAGCTATGAAATAATTGATATTCTGAATAGAATGACTTATAATCCCCCAGCCCCCCCCCCCCCCAAATAAAATCATGTCGATATTTAGTTCATAATCTTACAAATTAGCGCATAATAATGGAGCAACGTATTCCTACGTATTGCTTTTTAAAAAAATTATTTTGATTGTTATTATGTATCTCTATCTATCATTGTTTTTCATGCTTTTATTTATAACAGATATGTGCACTATATAAAAGGCATTTTTAAAATGAAACCGAAGGCTGTGATAGAACCTCGCAGATGAATAAACACACATAGCTACATGTAACTGCAACTGCACAAGCTAATCGTGAATACTGGATTACGGTGCATATAAAAAGTATCGATATGACATTCTTTAAATTCTAAAATTAATATTATTTATTTAGCAATTTGAAGATCATTTGTGATGAGATTATTGATTTTATAAATAAATATGATTTTATAAATAAACATATTCGATAAATTATGATACATGTACTATATGTCATCCAATAAGACTGTTAACAGATGCGTTTGAGAATTAATTAATTAATTTGATAAAGCTTAAAAATGATTTTTTTTTTTAAATCCATCTAATGGTATTCATAAAATTAATGTGGTCGTAATCTTAAATGGCTACTCTCCCCCCCCCCCCCTCTTTCGACACGATTAAAAATCAACAAGACTGTACAGGTAACAACATCTAAGCTGAAGAATAACGGTAGCTGGCCCCGCCGCGGTGTAAACACGGTCTCAGGTAGCACCGCGATCAAAACCCGCGACGGTGTAACGCGGAAAGGATTAACACACCGCGGAGGGGACGCGGTCTGATACGGGATCCGCATTGCCTGTACTGTATATTGTATTATACAAAGTAATTATCTTGTTTAATATAAAGTAAGTGTCCCTTTTTCTACAAAGGAAGTATTGTATTATATAAAGGAAGTTTAGTAAGAGAATAAAAGTAAGAGATTAGAAGTGATTGTAAAATCCAAAATTCTGAAAGGAACATTTAAGTAGAAAATATTCATGTAACATATATTTTCTTTTATTTTACAATACAGGTCCACAACAGTCCTGTAACAGTTTGAACTGTAGTCAAGGATGTTCTGTCAACAGCACGGGTTCTCCATATTGTTTCTGTAACCAAGGTTACAGTCTGTTACCAGATGGAGAAAATTGTACTGGTGAGTCAAATTTTGAAGAAGAAGAAAATGTCAGTTTTCAGTTACTGTAGGGTGAATTCACCATGCATCGGACACCCTTGTACTTCAACAAGTTCTAGTGATATCGCTACCGACAGAAAATTATCAAAATGGAGTTTAACATTTAGTACGTGAAAAAAATATACATTTGGACACAATTATATGCCTTTTATTGAGAAAATATCCTCAAAAATTGAGTTTTTAAAAATAACTCGGAATTCACCATGGATCGGATATTATTTACCATGCATCGGACAGACGGTATTTGCATACTTGCCAACCTCCAGCATGTAAAAATCTGGTCATGACCAGATTTGGAAAGTAAAAAATCTGGTCATAACGCGTAACCACATTCACGACATATTTACCATGATTAAATTTTATACATAATTAAATATATACAAAGTATTTATGCATTGAGAATTCTTTTATTGAAAAAGGCTTTTATTTACAATGACAAAAAATTCATACATAATTTGATTAAATTTACATGTTAAAAAAGAGAACTGAAGGTTTCATATTTCAGTATTGACCTGAAGTAAGTGTGCATTTTTTTAAAAAGCCTTTTCAGTTTCTGCTAAATTTGAAAGTATACCAATTTTAGTTTTGAAGTTATTTTTTCTCTCTCTTAATTAATTAACTACCATAATATGTATATATGAAATGTGAAGTTAGGCCTACACTGTCTTCGATCACCTTATTTTATCTAGAATGAAAGTTTTTTTCCCCAAGATTCCTTGATATGTACATAAATATTGTTTCTCTTTTTCTTGGTTCAATCAGAGACATGTGTTTGATTCAATTTGTTCCTGCTGGCCCTGATAACGATCTAGTTCTATCGGAGGCCATTTTAATAGACTTCAAACATTGATTTGTCAAAACAACACCAAGTTAATTGTTTACACCTGCACTGATAATTAATCCATCGGCATTGTTTACGTAGATCTAAGCTTGGGTTGTAACTGGAAGTTAAAAGTGCAACCTAATTTATGAACCAAATCCGGAAATCGGGAGATTTTCGGGTTGGTCGGCAAAAATCGGGTGAAAAGCATGACCCGCCGGATCATAAAAAATAATCGGGTTATGGGTTGAAAAATCGGGTGTGACCCGACGAAATCGGGTGAGTTGGCAACTATGTATTTGGACCGAAAAAATATCATACCCTTATCACAATGCTTTAAATTCCTTGATATGGATATATTTTTATTTTTATCTAAGAAATATTAACCCTCTTAAATTTAATTGACGATATCGTTGCAAAAATGTAGAACGATTCGAGATACCTCACTTTGCCTTAGAAATGCTTTAAAATGCTTGTAATGCGGTAATTCGCGCCATTTTCTCATGGTTTATCATACCCTGGTTTGTAGAAATAAATTGAGTCAAGTTCTAGATGTCATATATCGATAATTTGTATTTTGACTGAAAATATAGAGTTTTTATTTTCTATTTCCGCAAAAAACAGCTGTCAGTTGGGTTCTGTATAAAAATGGTAGTGCTTATACCTTTGCATCGGAAAGTGTCTGATGCATGGTTAATTTGTGTCCGATGTACGGAGAAATGAACATACTAGTAAAAACCAGCTCTAGAAAAAAGTATATGAACACTGAAGAGAAATTTCTTTAAAATTTATGTAAAATTGCCAATCTTTGACAAAATTCACCGAAGTCTGACCCGTTCCGTTGAAGTCGAATTTAAAGAACGATAACTCTAAAAATTGTGAAATTATAAATTTCTGGTTATTCCGCTTTGATGATGTAAAATATGACGTAGCTTCAAGGCCATTATCGGGGTATTTTTATCACAGCATGATAATAACAATTGGTATCATTAAAAAATTTAAATCTTCATCTTTAAGACAGAAACAAATAAATACACGGAAATCTTAAGTTGAAAGAGAGTTTATTGCCTAAATTTGTCCGAAGCAAGGTATGTGTCCGATGCATGGTGAACTCACCCTATGTGTTGTCAAAAAAAGCGGGCTTCATATTTTAGCAGCTTTGATGCTGATAAGAATTTTCTAATTATTGAATACTGCTAAGAAATCATTTACTAATAAATACAAGGCGCAGCCATTTGT